AGTGGCGAAACCCCTCTATCCCTCCCTACGTATATATTGTGTATCTATATATACATTAGGAAATTAGTTCTTTGACACTGATAAAAATTAACGTATTTTTCAACTAAATTTTTTATATAACTTTTTAATAAACAATAATTACTGGTTAAACTCTTTTGATTGTTACACAGGAAAGTATCCTTATATGTGCTTATAAATCAAGATTATCGAAGCTATGTCCCTCCTAATCTAAAAATTTACTAACATTTATATAAGTATATCTCAAAAACTATACGAGAACGCCAATTAAGTTAGTCAGGTTAGTCATGTAAAGATTTACCATAGAATTTCGATAGCTTTAAAATTTTTATTAATGAATGCGTTATAAAATAGCATAACCTATTTTTATATTTTTTGTACTTATATTTGTTTAGTTTTAAACGTAGTTTGTAAATGTAATTTTACATATCATGAATATAAATTAAATATTTTTGTAAAAATTCATATGCAAAATATTGGAAATTAAATATATAATTGCTTTTTCTACGAATTTTAAAAAGATTAATATAAATTTGGTACATTACTTGTAATGTAATTTAACTTTTTATTAAACAATTGAATAAAATTCAAAATGGGAGCATTTACTGCTTATATATATGTTTATGTTTACAATTATTACAAATATTCGTCCATTTAAAAGCATGTTCATCTATTATTCTTAATATTCTTTTTATTTATTTCAATCGTTTCAATTATTTCTTATTATATTTTTGTATGAAAGAAAGATATTTTTCCATTTAATTATTTCCCCTATGTATTTTACATAAAGTCACAATACTGCATCAATAATGACGTTAAATCGCATTTAAAAAGCACTTAAGAGCAACTATGTGCGGGAAAATCATTGGTCTTGTTTGTTTCATAAAGCTCCAAACTTCACAAAGAGAATCATTTAGTAGGGATATCGTGTACGATGAGATTCGTATGTTCGATCAGACAAGTTAAATTCTCGTTAAAAATATATTTGCAACAAGAATACAATACATTTGCTAGTCTTATTTATTAATTCTACTTAAAGCTGACTATCTTAAATATTAATAAATATATTAGGTTGCATGTTGTCAAATGTTTATCATAGCACTTATTAATGAATGAATAAAGAAAATATCATTTCATTCTGTCTGCGATCACAAATTTTTTATATATTTTTTATATATTTTATAAATAATCAAATTTGAATTAATTAATCAATTTGATTAAACAAACACGATAATTTTATTATTATAATTTTACAAAACATTAAAAATCGTAGAATATATCCCTCTTTAAGCGTGATATTTTTCGATAAATTATTCTTTTAAAAGACATAAGAGATTGAAAATCTCTTTCGGCGTTAATGACGAAACAGTTTAAAATTTTTCATGCAGTATATCCTTGTACAAAAATCCATCGTAATTGCCCTCGATAAAAAATGCAACATTTTCTGAAATCGATCCTCTCGCCACAAATCGAGTCATTCCGTCGTATAACCATCTTGGTTATGCTGATGATGGCTCGTCAGCCTCGGTACATGGCGAAACATTGGTACGACGTGTACGTTGGATGACATATCTTGCATACGCCTGTTGGCGTTTCTCTCGAACGGAACGTCCATACATGTGTATTGCTTATATGCGTACGTATATTTACAATTACGTGGAAATGCATTTGCCTATATGCACGTATAACTGTTTATCCACCAATATCCTGTCACACGATGTATTAGTCTGAACATGTGTGCTCTAGGTACACACGTGTGACTGTGTGCGCGTGAGCATAATTAGATTGAATATTTCAATTCAGAGAATAGCTGTCTCCTATTTTCGTGCAAAAATAAATAAAAGCACGCGTACTGTTGCAATCTTAAGTCTATAACGCTAAAACTATGTCTATTTTTATTAATGTAGATTAATTTTAATCTCGATTTAATTTACTCTTTATCTTTTTTTTAATTCTTAGAACTAAAAGAAAAGATAGAAAGTAATTTAAACTAAGATTAATCTATGTTGTTAGAACATAAGTCAATGAATATAATGACAAGATGTTGACAATAGTAGATAAAATAAAAGTCATTCTACGATAATTATCTTAATAACTAAAGCAGTTATTATTGTTATTAATATCCATTATAGCTAATATCTTTTAAACGTGTCTTCTAATAATCATGATATGTTATAATATATGTTATACGAAATGGTGGTATAAAATAAAATTTATATAATTTTTATATTTTAATTCGGCATCTCTAATGTAATGAAAACTAAAATGATTTTTTACTTGCATCGCTTAAATCATTTCTATATAAATTCATGAAAATATGAAAAAATGGGAGAATTAGAGGAAAAAGAGATAAAGTGCATGTAATATTTCGCGTTTTGAGCATTCGTATATATGATTGTAACTAATGGCGTATAATCATCATGAGCGTAATAAGGGTGAGTGCCATGAGGTTTGACAAGATTGTGGGTGCAAGTGTTGTCCATTGACCCCATACATTCCATATACCCTGATCTTATGAGCCATCAGTATGACTTGACCCTGTTGGACTGCTCTATGTACATATCTACTGATATATATGCATACGTACCGATACCTTGTCCTGTTTAGGGTGTACGTTCAGCTCAAGTGTGTGCATTAGTGGCACGCGTGCGTATCAGTGTTCCACACATACCAACACACATACCAACACACATAAACTGACAGGTACGTACATTCGCGTACATATATATAGAGGGAGAGAGAGGAAGAGAGAGGGGGGGAGAGGGGGGAGAGAAGGAGAATGAGAGGAAGCATAGCGATCCTTCGATAGTGTGCGTTGTATCGCGGATATGGCCCCTGGTATAAGCCGAGATCAAGATTGATAGGCCACGAGTCGCAACACATACGGGGCATCCACTTAGCGGTGCATTATCCGAATGAGAATGTGTACAGGCTGGATCTTACCTAATGCGACGCCCGCAATCCCGGTAATGGCGACCGTTTTGGCCGTCGTGCGCGGCGATCTTCGCCAATCGATAATCCCGCGCGCGTCTGTATACCGAGTTAACGCCGCGCCGCGCGATTATTTCGCAATCCATCCGACAGGCGCGGAAGGAGCTACCCTTCGCTATGACCTTGCGAACTGCAACCGGGCCGTATAGGCCGACGACAATTAATGCAACGAAGCGCACGTGCGCGCACGTGCGCGCGCGCGCGCGCGCGCGCCTGACAATGTTTTTTCCTATTAATGTAATATCGCTTAAATCGCGCCAAGTCGGTTCGATTACGTGATTGTATTTTACACACACCGACCAATTGCAAATGAGATTCAATTCTAAAAAGCGCACGACTTTTGTTCTTCGTGCGAGCTCTGTCGTCTCGCTGCGCACTTGAAAAAAGCGTATGCTGCAAAGAAAAGTTCACGTTTAAAATAAAGTAAAATAAAATAAAGAAAAAAAGAGGAAAAAAACAGCATGGCATTGAGAGAGGAGGAGAAAGTAAAATGGAATTCTCCGGAAAGAACGTTAGAGAGAATGCATACTTTGGCATGTGGCAAAACGTTTTTGCTAATGGCACTGCTTCGCGAAACTAAAAAATTATATGCTTTTTCAGGAGGGTATTATTATTAAATTGCAGCTGCATACGCGACTTGTATGCATAAGTGTACGCTTGTGAAAAAGTTATTCCGCAAGCTGTACGCTGCGCAAAAATATTTTCCGACAGAACAAAATATTGCACAATGTTAATATCTCCTCATAATATAGTATTACGTTTAAAATCGATTTAGGATTCTTGTTTTATTAAAATCATTTATTATTAATCTTCACATAAATAACATAAATAAATGTAATTATGTAATGAAATGTCCGTGCGCAAAATGTTTCATATTATATATTTCAGAAAATGTTATAATTTCAGTACATATGTCATAAAAAATTAATTAGATAATGTGACAGACTTCGTAAATTGCAAAAGTTTAATTACGGTAGTCATCGGCGATGTCATTAAAAATTGCAAATATGTAATGTATTATTATATATTTTTTACAATTTATACTACTTTATTACGAAAAAAAATGAGTATTTGTTTACATGGATACATGGATATATGGACATAGATACATTACAGATAATGATTGCGTTTTTTATATAATAAGTGATATCTATTTAGTTGGTGAAATCTATTACAGTTGTTGAATAATAATAATTTATAATTTTATTGCAAAATGCATTTACATACTTATCGCAAATTAAAATCGTATAATTATCTTTTTGTAAAAAAATATATACAAATCATTTTTTTTTTCAATGCGATTATTTATGATCTAATGTCGTTAACATAAGGCACGTAATACATAAACGTAATAATTACCACATCTATTACACTGATGCAACCATTTGCTATTATATATTACTATAATCTTTAACATGATTCATCCAAATTCGACCATGAAATAATTACATTTACAAGATCATTTCAGTCTTTTTTAATCATTTTATGATTTATTATGACTTGCACAACTGGATCATTATAGAAAAAAAACATTGTTTGTCAAAATACAGATCGCAATGAATCATTTATAATAAGTAACTTGTAATACTAAACGGAGTT